CGGCACCTTTTTTGAGATTTTTTCATTTTCAACGGCGTTTTTCGGGGATTTAGGAATTCTTTTGAATTTTTTCGCCAATAATGTTAGGAAAATAGATAACTTTTAACACATTTTAATGCAATAAAAATTTTTGGTCGGAGTCCCCCTTTAAACACTGTCACTAGAGTGCCGAGTCGACTCGAAAATCGATGATTTTTGTCGACTTTGAAAATCGACACAGTCGACATTCAAAAATTCGAAAAGGCTATTTGTCGATGAAATCGAACTTTTCGTTGTCGATTTTGCGTCGACTTAAAATCGACAGAAAAATCGACAAAAGTCGACAAAAAATCGACGAAAGTCGACGAAAAATCGACTTTTCCGGACTTCAAAATAAAATTTCACCTCGAGAAATGTTTTTTTCTAATTTTTTGAAGAAATCATTGTAACAACTTTATTTTAGAGTAACAACTTTATTTTTATGGATAAAAAACCAATAGAGTAAAACTTAGTTTCAACGGGGGTACAAAATATGATGGCAAGGAAAATAGAAGAAAATTCAAAGCGACAAAATTAAAAAAAAGGGAAGAAGAAGAACAAAGTTCAGCATAAGGAATTAATGTTTCATTATTTGGGCCAAATCGTTTCCAAAAGTATCATCGTTATGCTCTCTAGATTCGTAATATTCTTCGCCTTCTGAGTCATCATTCTCGTCGTCATATTCGTACTCTTCAGTCGTCGACGTATTTTCCTTCGTCGTAGATCTGAAGAAAACTCAGATTTTGAGGAAAAATAAACTTTAATATCTTACTCCAAAGTGGCCAATGCCGCACAAAGATGTTGCTGGTTAAGAGTCTTCGGTTTCATCCTGTTTCTTCGGCTATTGTTAACGATGGAGCCGCAGACACTATAATGAAGTGGTCACGTAGTTTTTATAAACCGATTCCCACCTAAACAATCTTTCCACAATTGCACTAGACTGCGTGGGCGAGAGGAAATGCAGAGCGATTCTTTGAAGAAGCGGGAATCTTTCTCTGTGAGCTCTCCAAAAAGTAACTGGGTCAGAATCCAAGGCTGGTCTTCCAGCAACCACAAGTGCCTTGTAGCTCGCCATCTCCGCCTGAATATACGTTTTCATTGATTTGGAAACCAAAATTTCAGGAAAATATACCTGGATGCTATTTCCCCCGACTGATAGTCTCTTGGATTGCACAAATTTCGCATAACTTGACTCTTCAACATGTGCTTTTTTTGGAACTGGGGGCTGTGCTGATGTGGGCACAATAATCAATGACTCTGCAAGAAAATAGTTAACTGTGTTTCAGCAGAATAGAATACCAGAATAAAGCGCAATTGATTCTTCGATTTCTGTCCAGCGTACTCTCATAAGAAGATCCGGCACATAAGAGAAACGCGGGTCGAGATAGGTGGACATTAAAAGAGACTCGTTCTCCACATAGGATTCATACCTAAAATATTATATTTTAGTTATTTTTAATTCTGAAAAGCCTTCCTTGATACAGTTTCATCACACAGGCATCGTCCTAAAAAAGATCGTTGGTCTTGAGACGACGCGTAGGTAGTGAGATGAGAAAACTGAGGTCACAGTTTGTCCGTTATTTTATTTTTCGAAGTATCGCCACGCTTTAGATTGATTTTGTGACGAATACATCTGCAAAAAGCAAGAATGTCGTAAATGAAACAGAAAAAAAAACAAAACACTCAAAAAAAACAAGAAAAATACGGTTTTTCAGTGGAAAATTCGATGAAAAATGCCTGTTTTTCATGAAAAATACCCCGGTCACAGGCAGTTTCTAGGTCACCGGTCGTGTAGTCCTCTCGGACAATAAAGACGACAAAAGTCGATTTTCTGTCGATTTTCTGTCGATTCTTGTCGATTTTGAGTCGATTCAAAATCGACAAAATCGACTTTTGTCGATTTTCACTTTCATCGACTTTTGAAAAGTCGATTTTCTGTCGACTTTTTGAATGTCGATTTTTGATCGAGTCGACGAAATCGACACCGATTTTGACGATTTTTGTCGATTTTTGTCGATTGTCAACAATCGACACAGCACACTAACCGTCACAAAAAATTGCGACTTCCTGTAAACACAATATTGTATCTTCTCCTTCTTATTCTCTGATCTTCAAGTCTAGACTACAATCTCTTTCTTTTTTTTCCAATTTCCGTCACAAGGAGTGTCTTTCCCATCTTCTTATTAGCTCATTCAACCGAATATTACTTTTTTGGTTTCTCAGCAACATAAAAAAGATAACAAAAAATGTTGGCTAAGGACTTTGAATCCACAAAATTTGCATTTCAAGCGGTTTCTGTGGTTTTCTCATGGCTTATAAACCTTCTTTTGATCTACCTAATCGTCACAAGATCACCGAAAAAGATGGGTAATTACCGGCATTTGATGGTTTATTTTTGCTGTTTCTCCATCTTTTTTTCATCGCTGGATATTGTTGTGCAGCCGGTGAGTCACATTATTTTAGCCGTTGGCTGGTGCGCATTTGGCGGTAGCCGCGTCGGCAATGAAATTAGGGTCCAAAGTTCAAACCACAAGGGGCAGTTTTTTTTTGGTTTTTTTAGTTTAGATATTGGAATCGAATTTTTGACTTTTTTGGGTTCAAAACCTTGTTATTAGGTAAATAAATTAATGATTTATGATCTTTGATAGTTTGGAAAGCTCCTTGGGAAATAGAATACAATTCTTTTAGTTAAAGGTGGGAAGACACGAAAAACATTACGTTCTCGAAACTCCTTTAAAATATGCCTCTCGAGGAGTTGAACTTGTAGGGGCAAGGATTGAGGGTGCGGCGCCACTACCGTCTCAGCTACGCGGGCAAAGAGAAAGCGGCAGCCCGATTGCATACATAAAGGCAAGGACGACAGATGTACGCAGAGTGACATTAAGCGTTGTACACCGTCACGGTAGAATGCATACCCTAACTCCAAAAAACCTCCGAAAAATCTCCTGTCCCCCCCCCCCCCACCTTTAACAATAATCAATGAACCTTTTACACTGCGCGCCATAATTATGGAGCCACTTCAATTTTTGTAATTTTTTTGATATCCTTGAAAGTTTCAGAATCATTTCCGATGGCAATACATATCATTTTTAAATCTGAAAATGTAGAGAACATTCAATTTTAGATAGTGAAGCAACGGTTTGAAAAAATGAAAAAAAATGTCAAAAAATTATTTCACTGCGCCATAATTATGGAGCCACTTCAAAAATCTTGCCATCATAACGATTTCTTCACTGTAAAAAGCAGATATTCTAATTTTCCATTAAAAATTGATATTTCCAAAGCAATTTCTAAACTAATTTCAGTAGAACAATTTTCTGTTATAAATGATTTTCGAAAAATTTTTTACAAAAAATGGAAGGTTCGCAAAGAACAGTTTTTGACTTTTCCAAATTTTTACAGGATAAGTTATGTCAAATTGTTTATAAGAACCCGTAAAACATTATCAAATGCATCATTTAGTTTTTCAAAGCATGTAAAGTACTGATCAAAGGGTGCAAATGTAGATATATGAGTTTATTGAAGCCAACGTAATTCGAAAATTTAGTAACTATGACGGGATACATTTGAAACTTCCCACATTTGTTAACCATAAATGGAGCTTTAATTTCTTAATTGACCAGTTTTTATCATGACTCCATCCAAAAAAGCTATTCTGCTCCGACTTGTCGCGAACATTACCTCAGAACTCTCATCTGCAGTTTTCGCTTCTTCGGTTTCCAGAGCTGTATCTCATTTGTATGAATCTGTACAAAAAAGTTGTCAACTATAAAAATGAAGCTCTTTATTTGTTTTATATTTCT